CCTTACATGAGTGCTCATGAAATCTTGAGATGCTGCATTAGCAACATGAATTTCAAATTTTCATGAGTCATGTCCTAGGACACTGGTTCCCAATCTGTGGTACATGTACCACCAGTGGTATGCAGACAACCTGTCAGTGGTACACGTTAACAGATTTCTTATAATTACTTTATATGACGAAATGTGCTGGTGATACTTAAGGTTAAACTGAAAAATTTGCTGGTGGTACTTAACATGTATTGTTTTAAATTGGTGGTGCACAATCTGTCAGAGCTTAGGAACTGCTGTCCTAGGAGAAAAGCTGGGAGTAAAAGTCTGTAGTAGAGTATCTGGAAGTTCATAGTGATCCAAACTTTAGGGACTTTCCACTGTTGAGAGATTTCTTTTTAAGTCTGCAAGCATTGGCCATAAAATTGTTGTTCCTGTTGCAGTCTTGCTAACTTAATCACCAATTAAGTGTGTTGCCTGTCACTCTTTCATTCCAATCAGAAGACAACCTCTCATAAATGGAAATGGACATTTTGGATCTTACCAGTCCTATTCTTCTCAGCTACTTCTTATACTTTTATCCCCTCCAAATCTCAGTCAAACTTTTTATTTCACCTGCCTCGTACTAGTTTGGCAAAATATCCTTGACTGTTGATGCTGCTTCTTTTACAGCAAGGATATCAAACTCTTCAGGCCTTGCAGGCCTGGGATTGGTCCACAAACTGAATCAGGCCCAGAGACTGGCCTTGCAGGCTGGATCCCGTGCACAGGTAGCGTGTGCTTTGGACCGGTTCCAAGCACTGCATACAGTGCTCACCCCAGACCAACATTCCAAAAATGTGAAACTTTTATTTTATTAAAGAAACACTTAAAATTATATGAACTAAGAAAATGGAACATACTGTCCTCCTCAGCAAGAATATGCATCTTACCCATTTCACTTACCAGAGCACCACTGCTGAGAAGAATCATAAAAACAATAAAGCTTTCAAACCAGCTGTGTTCTACTATCCTGTAACAGGTTCTTCGAAAGTTCCACCACACTTTTGCCTTCCCACTTTCTATGTTGATTTGGCAGCACTTGAACCGTTGTACACAGCCTAAGAATAAGGACAATAAATTATGACAAATCAGTATGGGATAAAATTTTGTGTATTCTGAAACAGTAAACCAGTGTTTCATTAATTCTTCAGCCATTAAAATTAACAAGAATTACAGTAAGATGCCTCTCTACTGGCTATGCTGGGATACTGAGAATTGTTAATTTTGATTCTCAGTTTTACTATCCAGTCTTTACTTCAAGAAGGGGACTGGAGAAAATGATTTAACTGAACTAAGTTTCATTTACACCATTAAAAATACAAACAATGCCCACCCCCCATGCACACAAATTTACACAAAAAAGAAAAACATTTTTTGCTATCAAAAGGTAGATACCAAGAGTCTGATCCACCAGAAAGTCCAGCCCTCCTCTCCCCCACCCCTGCAAAAAGCCCCCCAACTTTATGCAAGTTTACAGTCCTACTCATATTTTCATACAGGGAAGCTCTGCTATGAATTGTGTTCCTTTATTTATCTGCCTGATCCACCCACTGTTTGGAAAATGTTTTCCTTTCTTCTCTTAGCATTTGTAAATCATCTTCATTCGTGTCAGCTTCCCTGTGCTCTTGAAATGGTCTCTGCTACTTTATTTTATTTAAAAAAAAATTTTTTTTATTTTTTTTTTTTACTTATTTTACTTCAGAGACAACAATAATAAATCACATTTTGGTATACTGGTCTCTTATACCTACCCCCAACACACATTTTTTTCTTTTGTGAACCAGAACATTTAAGTGCTGGAGAGTTTTTGCTCATTTTTAAACCATTAAAAGGAACAGATCTAAGACACTGTTGACTGAGATAAACCCCCTTCACCTTTGTCATGTGTTGACACAGTTGTAACAACCATTTTACTGAAGATTGAAAAATCATCTAGAATCAAATAAAAAAATATTCTGGATTCCTAACTTTGTCAAATACAATAAAAAGGGGTTGAACTTTATATTCATATTCATAGATGTGACTATGAAAACTGGAGGTCTGTTTTTGATTCAATGTTTTGCATTATTCCTTTTAGTCCAGACAAACACTTCTCACTTATGCTGAGAGGGACAAGGACTATTTAAACATTGACCAGATATGATATTACAAGACTCAACCATTTTTTAAAAACTCGAGGCAGGCTTCAAAAATTACAAGTAAGTTCTTGTTGCCAAGCAAGCAGGTTGCACGTAGAAGGAGAGAAGGAGGAAGGAAGGAGCGATGAAACCAGAGAATTCCAGTTAATGATGTTACTTCAGGAGTGGGAAGGAAGGGGCTTTAAAAATAGCATCAAATATTGGGAGAAGAGATATCAGAAAATTCACACTAAAATAATTTGATTAGATACACACACAACTATCATATTATCCTGAATCCAAGATGACCCTGAATTTAAAAAGACCCCCTAATAATCAGATTCTATACATGAAACATTTATAAATTTGTTATAATTTTCTATGTATAGAATCCATTTATTCAAGGGTCACTTTGCCCCCTCCCCACCTTCTTCATCAGGAAAAACAGTGACAGAGGGGCAGAAGGTAAGGGAGTAGATGACAGAGGAGGCAGGGGTACAAGCAGTGGGTAGCTTGTCCCTTGCATCCCCACATCTTGTCCCCTGTTGCCTGTCCCTCGCAATGCTTGACCCACTCTGCTGCCTGCCCCCAATCCCCCTTTGCATCCTGTCTTCCTCCTACCTACCTCTTCCAGTCACTTACCCTTGTGTCAGCTCTGTCATGGCTCCAGCCCTGTTCACACCCATGGCATGGAGAACATGCTTGCCCTAACCCTAGCCCCAGCTTGGTAGCAGCTGCAGTAGCGGTAGCTTCAGCCCAGACTCCAAAGGCTGGGGACAGGGGAGGGTAGGCATCAACTAAGGCACTAGCCCTGATCCTCAGTCAGGGTTAGGTCTGGAGCTGGGCCAGAGCCAAAACCAGAACTGGAGCTGGAGCCTCACGCGCCTTCCTCCCTACCGCCTCATATTCAAATCTAAGACAAGGAGCTGTTTTCCCCCCCAAGTTAAATGTGGGGAGGGGTGGGACTTATCTTGGATTCAAATTAATATGGTAAACCATAAATCTGAACTGCATAAAAAAGGAAAAATATCAGCTGCATAAAAAGGAAATCTATTGGTCACATTTAAATTCATTTAACAATGCCCACACCTAAAATTCCTCTCTCATAAAAAAAATAGTTTAAAGCGAGACCTTTAATTTAATTGAATATAAGTGAAGTTTGAGTCATTTTAAGTACTAACCAAGACAATTTCAGTGGAATGGGCCAACCTACTTTGTGCTTCCTGCAATGGAGCACATATCTATGGCTTTGATGAAGTTTTGATGAAATAAAAGTCCTTCCGAAAAATTCTGAATTAGAGATGAAAGCAACAAATAGTTCTGTAAAATGTGTTTTAAATACTAGTTTTTGTGTATAGTTTATTAATATCTCACTGACCAATTACTCTGTCTTAGTGTCAAATTTCCATAATGCAATTTTGCCTCGTTCTCTTACCACTCCCTCCATGACATCCTATCAAACATCATTTTTCATTTCTGTGTAGCCTCCTTTATCAACTCCATTGATTCTCTGGTCACAACCCTGAGCTCCACTAACTCTCCAACTCTTGACTTCTTTGCTCCTTCATCTCTGTATTTCATTGGCACCTACCTCCTACGCTAACTCTCATCTTGTACCTGCTTCACTGAATATCTATGGAACAAATCCAGGGATCATGTGCACTTTCTATGCCACACGTTTACCTCCTTCTCCTTCAGTATCAACATTCCATGCAAAACAACCATATTATCTTTCTCTTTTAAAACTTCACACTCACAACCAATATTGCTTGCATGCCCTCAAGCCCTTGGATCTCAATTTCCCCCTAAAGCCCTTTTCTCACAATACCATATCCCTGCTATTCTAATATCTGTGATCCTCCAGACCTGCTTATCTTCCAGCTCCAACTCTTAACTACTTCTACCACTGATACTCTTCATAGGTGGCTGCTTTCTTTAGGAAGAAGCGAAGCCATGTGAAAGTGAAGAGAGATGGAGGCTGGACATATCATATTTTGTAAAATAAGTCAGTGGTGCCCTTTGTAGACTGATAAATGAGCAGTTTGAGAAATTAGTTGGGGAAACTGAAAAGGCAGATGCAATTGCAAACCTAGGAGTATATTAAATTACAGAAGTGGAGACCTTAGCTAAGATGATAATAGGATACAAGGAGATAATGAGTGGGACAGAAAGTAATGGGATTTTTGCTAGAAATGATCCATAGTGAGACAGCAGCAGCAGAGGAAGTAGCTGCTGGAAGTGGGACAGGGCTGGGGTTTTGCAAGGCAGATCTTGTGAAAGAACAAAAGGGAAGGAGAGCCCAGGAGAGAAGAGAATAAAGTATGTCTAAATCCCATTTAGGGGAAAAAAGGCCCCTGTATTTTTGGTCATTACAAACATACTAGGGTGAGTTGAATGAGAAAAGAAGCTGCTAATCAAAACAAAATGATCCAGAAATATATTTTTCATTCTGCTGCATAGCGGCTTATGATATTCATCATTGAAGTAAAGGGGAAAGCTTAAGTAAAGTCGTTAATACCATAGTAGAATAACAAATACAGATGGAAATCTGTTCTTCCCTCTCATGTAATATAGCAGAAGCTTTATAGCCTATAGAAATATGTGGGAACCAACCCAATAGCACCTTCCTAACAAACGATGGCATTGCAGAAAAGTGTGCGCTTTGTAAGTCTTCATCACATCAAGTTTTTCCTGCCATAGCCATAGAGAATGCTATGAATAGTTTCTTGAGGCCCATCATGCTACACTTGTCTTTTAGAATATAAGCTATTCCAGGCAGAGACTGCTTTGAACAACAAGCACAATGTAAGCATTTAAATTATATGTATATGCTTTCTTGCTATGGAGGGGAAAGAAGCCATTGGATTCCAGTGCTAGGAGGATTTGGGTGAGAGGAGAATACTGGGGCAAGAGGATGACAGAGTTTTTGTACTGGGAGGATCTGCCATCTATTACCATGCTCCAGCAGATTCCAGTGTCCCTATGCTTAAAAATGGTGGTGGGGGTGCTTTAACTAAAGCTTGTTTAATGAGCTTTAGTTAAAGCACCTCCACTGCCATTTTTAGCCTGAGGATACTGATACAGGAGACGCTCTAGGCACTTTAATTAGAGTGACTCTCAGAAAGCCACTCTAATTGCAGCAGCCCCTGCCCCCTACTCCCAGAACACATATATAAATGCCCCTTGATTCCTTCAATTTATTCAGAATACTGCTGCTAAAAACATCTGCCCTTTCAATATACGTCTGCTGACTCTTGTGATCTTAACTACCAACACTTTGTTCTCATCCTTAAAGTTCTTTATATCTTTCCTACAGCATACAACTTTGGATTTATTTCTTAGCATTTCCTCTCACTGCCTGCTTGCCACTAAAAGCAACAGCTTTGCCCGTAACTTCTCCCCTTTCAATCCTTGAATCTTCTTCCATGTGACCCCTAAACATAGAATACTAATCCCACTTTACAAGGACCTCACATTCTTCTCATTCTAAAGATCTGCTTCCTTCATGAGGCCCACACAGATACTAACCACCATTAGCCTTAGGTTAGGTAATTTTCTCTAATGCAAAACTACCCGAATTAAGAGAGAGAGAGAAAGCTCCAGAGTTAAACTAGCTGCCACATAAGTGAGTGGGCATTGACAGATGTGCAGCTATTCACTTTAGCTTATGGTGCTTCACAGAAAGTGCCATGAGTTACAGTGACTCCCCTCTGACACAACAGATGTTTGGTGTTTGGTCAGGGATTGGGGGGAAGAGGAAATCAAGCTCCACTTTGGAGCTGATCCAGTAAAGAGAGGCTGCATATCTATTGCCTCTGTCCCCTAGCCCCACCTCCCACAGCTTTGGTGCTGTCTGCACAATGGGAGGGGGAGGGGGCAGGGAGAGAGCTCTGGTCTGGGGTTTGCCCAGCCTGCACTGGAGGGGGCTCCCATCTACCTGC